AACCCACACCCTTTCCTATTTACACCAGACGGAGGCAGCCTGTACGCTGACTCACCCTTGGCTCAGACCAAGCCATTGTTCTGGGGTGGGGGTTAGTAGGAGTGAGGAACATGGCCTAAAGGGGGTGGGGTCTGTCAACTACACAAGTGACCCGCAGACAGTGACGCCCAAACACATGGCGAGGCTGGCATGCCAGATTGAGTGATGCCAAGAAAGGGGTCAGGGTCGTAGCACCAGCATGCTGCACTGAAAATGCTCACTGGACACTGACACTCACCCCCAGGTGTCACAGGCACACAAGCCTGGCACACACGCAAGATCTTTTACATTCCCAGGACAGAGTTCCATCCAGGGAGAGAGAGACACACTCATACTCTGCACATCACACAGGTCCAGGCTCACCCAGGCATTCACATTCTCACACAAACCAGCTGTGGTCGAGTCTTCTTTGTCTCCCTGTAATAGACATAGGCCAATAGACAGTGGCTCATGCCTGTAATCCCTGCACTTTGGGAGGCCGAGGTGGGAGGATCACTTGAGCCCAGGAGTTTGAGACCAGCCTAGGCAACATAGCGAGAACTCATCTCTATAAAAAATTTAAAAATCAGCCAGGTGTGGTGGCACACACCTGTAGTCCCAGCTACTTGGGGGTTTGAGGCAGAAGGATCGCCTCAGCCCAGAAGGTCAAGGCTGCAGTGAGCCATGATGCTGCCATTGCACTCCAGTCTGGATGACAGAGTGAGACCCTGACTAAAAAGAAAAGAAATACACACTGGCACACATACACAAGCACATCAGTCTTCCAAACAGTCTTATGTCTTATACACTGACACCTAAGCATATCTCTCTCTCTCTCTCCCCCCCTTACATTCGTACACACACCAGTCACAGGATCTTGCCTGTCCTGTACATATATATATATATATATATACATACCACACATAAGACAAATACTCTTATGAACATCTAGAGGTGTCTGTCTCTTTCCCTTTTTCACACACATGTACACACAGATGCAGACACACATACCACCATACAGTCTCAAACTGTCAGAGGCTTCATTGCACAGCCTCAATGTCACTTCATGAGACTCTTTGTTTCTTTCTCTCAAACTTACACACACTCAGCTCAGTCTCACCAATAGTATACGTAACCTTGATCATCACAGTGACACCAAAGTCTTGTCCACACACAAGGTTGCACACAGACATCTTTACTGGAATCACTGTGTCACATAGTCTGTTTATATCACAATCTCTCTGCTTGTTCTCTTTTACACACAAACACAGATTAGGATAACCTAGCCAGTCTTGCCCACAGCCACACACCACACACACTGTTCACGATGTCACCCAGAGTCTCTCTCACACACGCATATCTTCCAACACTACTCAGTTTCTCTCTTCCCGGTGCTCCCCTCCCCCGCACCCCAGCATCACACATAAGCAGAAGTGAGAAAGATGCCCAGGTCAGAGCTGCAGCCAGTATCTGGAGAATCTCCAGCAAAGGCTGCCACCCACCCCCCCTTTCCCAGTCCTTTGGTCCCCCCTCTTCCAGGAGCTGTCTTTGACCCACGCTGCTCTCTCCTATCCACACCCCTGCCCTCCCCCACCCCTCAGCCCTCCATCTGGTGGGTCCAGGCAGGCACTCGGGCCTCTCTTCTGCCTCCCCCATCCCCCAGCCCTTCCCCATCCTCTCCAAAAAAGCCCAGAGGCCGACGCTGCAGGCTTTCATGGGTTGCCATGGCAACGGGGCCTCATCCCTCGTCCCCCTGGGGGTGGGCTGAGGACCCGGCCAGCCAGACCGATAAGGGGGTTCCAGTTACTGTGGCAACCGTTGCAGTCCTGAGCTCTCCGCTTCTAAAGGGGGGGGGGTGAGTGAATGGTTGCCAAAGCAACCAGGGAGCCCGCAAGAACTGGGAAGAGGCAGCTGAGCCCTGTCTTCCCTGTCCAGGGCTGCTGTGGGCATCGCAAAGCACTTAAGCATCATTCTTCCATCCCCGGAGGTTGTTTTAGGGGAGGGAGATGAAGTGCAGATTACAAAACGGGAATTCCATTCATTCTCGCAGCTACCCATCATGGCCTGGGAGCCCATGCCAGCTCGCCCAAGCTCAGTCAAGTCCACTCTCTGGACCCCAGTTTTCCCCTTCCATCAAGAGGCCCGACTCTCAGGAATGTCCCCATTCCTGGCTGATGAGTGTGCCCTCTCTCTCCCTTGCTCAACAGGAACCACAGAGCGGGTATGCCTAGTTCAGGGCACGGCAGAGGCCTTGAATGCTGTGCACAGCTTTATTGCCGAGAAGGTCCGAGAAATCCCACAAGCGATGACCAAGCCTGAGGTGGTCAACATCCTTCAGCCCCAAACCACGATGAACCCCGACAGAGCCAAGCAGGTCAGCTGGGGCAGAGACTGGGTTGCTGTAAAGCTGGTAACGTTCACAAAGAGACAATCCTCCCACATCACTGCATTACTGGGGGAGGTTCAATGGGTCAAAGTCGATAAAAAGTTTTATCAGTCAAACACTACATGGTAGCGATTATTATTAGGGAGTTAGCCCTAATAGTATAGAAAGGACTTCAGACGACTTGGAGTGGACTTGATTCAGGGAGGGAGCAAAGGTCTGGAAGAATGCGGCCCGACACCCCACTTTGTCTTTTCTGCCTGGGATTCCCTAGCCCCTCATCCTCCCTTCCACTTCATCCCATTGTCTCTCTGAACAACCTGCCTCCCACTTCCTGTTCTCGCCGGAAGTGACCTCATGACAGCCTAACCACGTCCGGACTAGTTTAGAAATGGCCTCTCAGCTTCCCGCTCCCCATAATTACCGTGCGGGGGTAGAGGTGGTGCTTCATTAGCGAGAGAGGGGCGTGGGTCCCTCTCCTACATAGCCCTCCCTGGGAAGGCTTGGGAGCGGGGAGGGCAGCGCCCCCCCCCGTTGCCTCAGTTACGGGGAAGCGGCGGCGTAGGGGCGTGGCAGGGAGCGAACCAATCGCCTCCCGGGTC